ACACCTTACCCACTTGTACATCCTGCCTTCACACCCTTTCTGAAATCCCAAGAAACAAAAAAGTGGGTGAATCAGCAGGTCTAACAAAAACATTGTTGCAGTTAAGTCATCGTGGACTGAGCAGCAGCCACAGCTCTTGACTATAAAACTTACCATCGTCTTTCTGCTTCACCTTGAAGTGGCAGGTCAAGGACAAGAGACCTCCCAAGTCAGTGTCTTCTCTGATGCTATGTATACTGCAAACTTTTCTCTGGAAAGCTTCCTGGTATTTTCTCAGTGTATGGAAGACTAGAGAAAACATACACATGCTTGAGCTGTACAGGGCACTATGACAGAGAGGAAGGGTGTTGCTGGTCTTTCACAGATTCTCTTCACAGCCTTTATCTCTTTCCTGGGTGACCCAGAGCTCACTAAGTGAGAAAGACAGAAACTAATTCTAGGTTCTCAGTACTGTGAGGCACCTGATCACCTGAAATATGTTGGTTCTGGAGGCACAGAAGAGAAAACAAACAAACAAAAAAATCATTTTACAGTTTTATTTAATGGGTTATTTCTAGAGAAGGAATGTGTCAGGGCAGCAAGTTTCTTGCACTTTGGCAGAGCCTATCAAGAGAACCATCAGAAAACAGTGATCTCTTGTTGTGTGACTCCGGGCCATTTTGGTTTTTTGTTCTATAAGCAGTTTAGCTATTTCTCTAGTAGGTCCTGTTACAGCAATATTCATCTGTACGCTTTAATGTCTTACACAAAGTTCTTCAAACTAGAAGAAAGGAAGGCGTTCCCTCTTAAATAAAATACTGATCTGTTATCACTTACCTGGATTTGAGTTACTTTTTTTTTCCCCCCCATTTTTAGACTATATCTTGAATAGATGATAGAATCATAGTCCAATGTAGCACTTCATCCTCAATTTCCAAGAAATTCTATATGCTACTACTTGGTTTAAGTGCTACGGGTAACCTTTTTTTTTATTCCAGTTCCTCTGATACTAAATTTTGGTATCGTGTATGCAACTCTAATCTGTTAGCCCTTAGCAAACACTTAGGCTATTAGAACCAAACCAAGCAAACATTTAAACTATAACTGAATTGGCTTTCTAAGTGTTATTGGTTTCTTATGTCATTAATAACCCTACTTAGCAGAATATTTTTTGCTGGATCAGTATTACTAGTTGACTTCTACATATTTTTCTCCAAAAAACAAGAGTAATTTTCTACAGGTAGGATAGCATATAAAAGAAAAAAAAGCCTAAGTATTTGCATTCCTTAGGCTGTAAAATTGGAGACCTGTGATTTTGTATCATAAGGTGGTCTAGGTATGTTGCATTGCATTTGCAATATGAAATAAACTCTCATGCTACAGGTTTGTCAATTTGAGTTTTTTTTATCTCTGCTTAGAGAAATTAACCAGATTGCATGCCTATGAACCAGAGAAACCACACACACGATGCATGAGTGCGCGCTTCTGCCCCCTCCCCTCTCCCCCTTCCTTTCACAGAACTTTTTCTGGGTTATGTGTTCTCATTGCTTTCCTGCTTAAGACCAGGCTGTAAAACCAGGGAACCCTTGAGAGAACTATGCTAAAGACCCCTTCATAGCCTATCCTTGTGGTCACCAGCACCATACCTCTTCTTAGTCGGAAGTTTGTTTACGCCTATTTGCGGCATTTTTGAGAATGGTACTAATGCTGTCAGTGGATGTAGAAACTCGGACTGACCGTGAATAGCTTGGAAGTTCGAGCTCCTACTTGAAGTACTGTACTTTGGTACCTTTCAACTGTGACAAAGTTAGGGTTACTTACCCACATGAAATGGGCTGAGGCAGCTATTGCATGAGTTCTGTATCTGCAGTGCTTTGCCATCCTTGGTTAAGCAGCTTCCTGTTGGAACCACTGATCTGTCTAACATTACTGTATGCGACAGAAGTGGTCAGGCTATGTGCCATGTTGTATGCATTCAAACCTACTTCTAAGTACTGATTTTGAGAAAACTGTATTTGGATAACTCAAACTCAGGTGTGTGTGGCATCACATTTAGTAATTTATTCAATTTTCCTATCATCCTGTTGGTAAACTTTGCTTTCATAACACAGTTTTACAGATTTTACTTTTGGGGATAATTTTTGGCTTAGGCATCAGCTAAGGAAGGAGGGAATGTCAGTCCCCTAGTTGCATCTATTGTGGGCCTGGCACGGTGGAAAAATGGGGATTGCTTGCAACATATTTTGCACTTAAAACTTCTGACAATTTCCTAGAGGGATCCTAAACTACTGTCACCAGTAGTTGTAGTTAGTGGCTGTTAATGCTGTTGGGACTGGTAGCTTCAGCTCAGTGCTAGTTGCATTTTCTTAGAAGTTTTTGGTGAATATAAGATAAGCTTTTTGGGGAAGGCAGCAATATGGAAACAGATTCAAAATTATATAGGCTTCTGTTTTCTCCCTTTATTTGCTAGTTGCAGATTGTGAGCTTGTATATCATGAAAGCAACCAAGACTACTTTGGGGGGAAAGGAGTAGGTGGGGAGGGATCATGGAAAGCTGTGTGTATTCAGGGTATTGAAAAGGGAATAAAATAAAAATAGTGGGCACATGGAAAAATGCTGTGTAGCAGCAAAGAGCCCGTATGACTTTCATGAGTAGAAGCCATGCCTTGTAAATCGCTAGATCATTTTTGAAATTGGGACGGGGGAAAAAAAAAAGCATGTGGCATTTGTATAGTGTTTAGGAAGTATGTATTTGATATACTTTTATTAAAGCAAAAAGAAACATTGAGAAGGTCTCTAAAACTTTCTTTTTAACTTGGAAAACAAAGGCCTAAGAATGATTGGTCAGTTTTAATAACAGGAGGAGACTAACGGGTTGGAAGAAGATTTTTAAGGGATCTGCACTTGGGATATGGTAGTCAGAATTTTCATAAATGTTACCTTGCTGGTATCTCTCAGATCAGAATTTGCTCATGAAACCAGATTACTTGGGGTAGTTAAAACTAAAGCTTAACCGGAGAGCATTGCTAAAGGTAATCTGTTACTTTGACTGAGGCAAGACGTTTTATATTGATAAATGCAGTGGAATCCACATGGCGGGTGAGGGGTAGAAATCTAAACAAGACAAATACCTATGATGATTTCAAAATCTGTCACAGGAAAAAACTGCTAGCACAGTAGTGATTAAAAAAAAGATACAGATAACATAAGAAATTGCTAGTAAAGGCTTTTAGAGCAAAAGAGCAAACATGCTAATGATATCTTCAGTTTTTGAATAACGGTGTAGCTTTTGTTTCATCCATCTCAAAATGTGTAATAGAACAATACTGGGTATGTAAACAGTGATGGTCAAAAATATGGAACAGCACCTATACCTTTAAAAGCAGAGTGCTTTAGCATAGTAATTATGTGCAAGAGGTGGGGGAGAAAAGGGATATGATAAAACTTAGAAAATCATAAATATTATGTAGAGCTGAATAGGATATGATTATTTTCTTTCTTTAAAGTAATGTAATTAGTGTTTTTTCCTTGCATTTTGCTCAGAAGAATATGTAAAGACACCTATGTAAAAATTACTGCTGCATACTGGGCTCTATTAGCAATATACAGCTGGTCAATGGAAGTGTTTCTTCACCTCTACTTGGAACCATTAAGACTATGTCTGCATTACTGTGTCCAGTTTGGGACTCATCCCACATACTGACATACTGGAGAAGATCTGGTGGAGGGTCTCCAAGATGGTTAGAAGGCTGAAGCAAATGCTGTACATGGAGAGGCTGAGAGATTTGGCTTCTTCAGTTTTAGGATAAGAAGGGCAGGGTTATTGCTGTTTTCGGTGATCTCATAGGGAGGTTTAGCAAAGGAGGAGCCAGAGTCATCTCAACCCTACAGCTGCCAAGGATGAGAGGCAACAGACAGAAGTTGCAACACTGGAAATTCTGATGATATGTTGGGAAATTTTCCCCCTCCCCCACAACGAGGTTAATCAGACATTGGGAAAATTGTTCAGAAGGGTAGCAGAAACTCCAGCCTTTGAAAACACCTGTTAATAACTCAACTAGACAAGACCACAAGCAATCTGATCTCATTTGCTCCTGTTTGAGCAGGGGATTTGACCACCTGATCTTCTGAGGTCCTTTCAAAGATGAACTGTTCTGTAATGCTGTGGCTTTGTGGAAGACAAAAACATAAAGGTCCTAAAAGGCAGTAAACAGGTTCACAAGGTAAAAAAAGGTACATCAGTAGCTAGTTAATGTTTATCCAGGAAGAACATCCATCTATCTCCATACTTTTTGCTTATATATGGAAAGAGCACACTCTGCTATTTTTTTCTGGTCCTGTTTGATACTTGGCTCTGTATCTCCTAAGACACAGAGCAGAATGGCTGATGAAAATGACCCCTGCTGGCTACGTATTCCCACTGCTGCTGCTGGCTTCTCTGGAAAGTTTAAAAAAAAATAAAAAGCATTAGTTTAGACCGTACATGTGATGGACACCATGCTGGGGCAAGTGTGGGAGTACCTTAAACCTTCTGTAGAACTTCACTGCTGTATTCTTTTTAAGGATCTAGTGTTAGCGGTGGATGCTGGGCCAGATACATCTCCGGTCTGACCCAGCATGCCCTTTTTTTTTTTTCCTTTTCTTTTTTTTCCTTTTCCTTTTCTTATCTCCTGGGAAATAAAAATGATGAATGGCTGTTTAATGTAGCTTAAAAATGAGTTAATCACATGAGAGTTAATTTTCTGACAAGTCAGTGAATGGGAGAATTTTCCATCCCTCTCTTTTGTTGCCAGTGTCCAGAAGAAGTTATACGGTCGAGTAATAGTAGCTATTTCCTGACTGTACATTTGTTATAGTTAAGGTGGTGAACCACAATAAATAGTAAGTCTGTGTAAGATTTTCTTTTCAACCTGTCTAAATATATCTGAAACAAAACCCCAGAGAGCTATGATTTTTATTTGTTCTGTTAACATGCAACAAATACGAACTTTATCTTTTTTTTTTTTTTTGGTCTTACAGCATAAGCAGCACTATTATGGATGTAGACAGCACAATTTCCAGTGGGCGTTCAACTCCGGTTATGATGAATGGACAAGGAGTTCCTGCCTCCTCTGCAAAAAGCATTGCTTATAACTGTTGTTGGGACCATTGCCATGCTTGCTTCAGCTCCAGCCCAGATTTGGCAGATCACATTCGCTCCATACATGTGGATGGTCAACGAGGAGGGGTTGGTGTCATTTTTTGTTTTCTCCCTCTTTCTTAGTTGCCAATATTTTACTCTTTAATGACAATAGCGAATCTTATGTTTTAAAGTATCAGTTCTGTAGCCAGTGACAACTAAGGTTGGGCCTTCAGCAATCTGGTATTAGGCATTCAGCTGTGTCTTTTGCATAGTTCACTTGATTTGGTATTCTGTGTTTTTAATTGAATGCCTAACTTTAAGAATATAGTAAGTTCTTTTAATAAATTATTTTAAGCTATCAGGTTTTTTGATAGATGTGCTAACTTCTCAACATCGTGAAGCTGTTGGTATATCTTTAAGTGCTTATATTTGGAATTAATTTTCTTAAAACTATTAGTGTACATGTTACTGCATGTGAACTAAGGTGAAGTCATATCTTGATTATTTTTATGAATGGAGTATCATTAGAGGTAAAATATATAAAAGATATATAATAGGGAAGTTGTAAGACTCATTGACTTGAGAGTACAAATTCTTACCAAAACAGCTCTGTCTGTAGTACTGATGGCAAGTATACCTTCAACATAACTGCATCTAGTTTGTTTGTTTTTTTTTTTAAAATTGAGGTACATGCATAATTATCTATATTTCAGTCTAATCCCTGGTCAAATGATGCAATTTCCATTGGTCTCACAATTTTAATGTTTCAAAACATCTTCTAGTAGTGTAATTTCAACTCTGTACTTAACTACCCGCCCCTCCACAACCTCCCAAATTACCTTTGCCTGGAATATGTCATGTAAACTACTTTTACATCAAACACAAGCAATCTGCCTGCCTTTGTTACCGTATGTTGCAGCTCTCTAATTTCTTGGAGAGCTAATACCAAATCTTAACCAAGAATAGTCATTATCTTTTGACTTTTTGTCCTGTCACTTCACCAGAAGTAGAATGTTAGGCCTTACACTTTATCTTGAGTGAATAAAAGCCTTAAATAAAATGCTAATTTGCATTACCTTAAATAATTTATTATGTAATTGTGTCACTGAGACAGTCGTGACTCTGGTTGTATTTAGCTAATGTTTTTTGGTATGATTGAACTTTCAGCTTCATATTTCGTGACTTTTTTCATTCCAAGCTCTAAGCAGAATCATCCATCCAGTGAGCTGGCTTTTTAGCCACCCATGAGATGATTTCTGTAGTTCACTTCATAGGTTTATAAAAGTGTTATATGAATCCTGGATGTTTTTTTTTTAATTGAGGTACATGCATAATTATCTATATTTCAGTCTAATCCCTGGTCAAATGATGCAATTTCCATTGGTCTCACAATTTTAATGTTTCAAAACATCTTCTAGTAGTGTAATTTCAACTCTGTACTTAACTACCCGCCCCTCCACAACCTCCCAAATTACCTTTGCCTGGAATATGTCATGTAAACTACTTTTACATCAAACACAAGCAATCTGCCTGCCTTTGTTACCGTATGTTGCAGCTCTCTAATTTCTTGGAGAGCTAATACCAAATCTTAACCAAGAATAGTCATTATCTTTTGACTTTTTGTCCTGTCACTTCACCAGAAGTAGAATGTTAGGCCTTACACTTTATCTTGAGTGAATAAAAGCCTTAAATAAAATGCTAATTTGCATTACCTTAAATAATTTATTATGTAATTGTGTCACTGAGACAGTCGTGACTCTGGTTGTATTTAGCTAATGTTTTTTGGTATGATTGAACTTTCAGCTTCATATTTCGTGACTTTTTTCATTCCAAGCTCTAAGCAGAATCATCCATCCAGTGAGCTGGCTTTTTAGCCACCCATGAGATGATTTCTGTAGTTCACTTCATAGGTTTATAAAAGTGTTATATGAATCCTGGATGAAACAATGAAATGGATGAGGTGTATTGGTATCCTGTGGGCTTTCACGTAACTGCATCTCCGGGCATCTTTGTTGTCCCATCCATGATCCCTTTTCATTCCTTAAAAAGGGACTGGAAGATTTTTCAGGGTGGTTTTTTTTTTTTTTGTATTGTATTTCTGTTCACTTACATTCCATGTGACATGATTTGTGGATATTTTTATTTAGAGAATGTTAGACTGTATTTGTCTTTCTGAAAGAGGAGCTTGTTGGATGCACCAGGTGTCTAATGACTGTTGCATTCAGTTCACACTTTTTATTCCCCTACTGGAGTTGATTTATTTTTTGAAAAGTTCTTCAACTTGATGTTATGGAAGAGGACTGATCTTGGCTGGTTCTTTTAAAGGATTTGTCTGCCACCTGCTGGCGAGGTGTTTTAAGTGGTGTTAGAAATTACATTGTGGTTTTGATTTGATTTCGGATATTACTCAAGTACAATGGCTATAAATTTGAGGAAAAGTGGGAGTAGTACCTGCTTATCGAGAACTTCAAAGTAATGTGATAAGCACCCTTGTATGGTAAAATGTGTATTTTCAAGCTAATACTGAGATAATGGCTCCAAGCCAAACCAGATAGATCCATGAAAAGCCCAGGAAAGTTGTGACAAAATAGTTTTACCTCCCAAAAATTTTTTTCAGAAATATTTTGGATTCAGCCTTTTGACAAGGGTTCCCAAGAAGCCTTGCCTGGACTTCTGTTGGGTTGTTGTAAAACCAACAACCTTGTTTTTTGGAGGGTCTGCATTTCCACAATCTGTGACTTCATAGTAGTACTCCTTTGGGTGCCCTGCAGTCTGCAGTTGCTGATGGGACGGTTACAGGGCTGTTCCAGAGCCAGGAATCTCAGAAATTCCAAGTCTGTGGCTTCAGGGGGATCTCAAAACTGAGGGGCAGCAGACATCAAAGGTTTAGGGGGTTGGGCCTTATGTGTCAGTAGATCTGGATCAGTCATACAGATGTGCAGGGTTTTCCAGCTTTGTATTAGTAAGCTGGGTTATCTATATATTATACAGCAAGTACATAGCACTCCTGTGGGTGTTCTTTTGTTTTGAAAATACAGTCTTTTGAAGATTGAGTTTTTTAATCTCCAAAAGAGAAGAAGAAACTCAAATGCAATTAGTTTCCTGCAGTTCAGAAAAACTGTACCATGGACAGTGCTATTCCTGCTATTTGCTGTTACAAATCAGGGCTATACCTCCCTTCACACACAGACCTGATGAAATTTTAATGAAAGGCAAGTTCGTTGAGCTTTTTTATTCACTCAGTTATAGACACAATGAGAGGAGAGAGAAAAGCAGCATGAGTAAGTTCTACTCCCCTTAATGCACTATTGTGCATATGACTGATCTGTACACTGGAATCACAAAACACCCATAGACTTTGAATTGTGTGAGAAATTGTAACTTTCTTCATCAGGAATTGAGTATAAGGCCCTAACTAGAAGTATCCAGTATTCCATAATATAAAACTCTGGTATCTAAACAACTTTATTGTAATTAAGAATTTTTACTTTTTCATGCTCAAAGACTAAAATTATTACTTGCTTATGAGAGTAAATTATTTTATTTCCATATCTGCTACCCAGAAAGTGTAAATTTGTCATTTAAAAATGTTCTGTCTCAATATCTGCTGGATACAGATATTGAGCGCAAACACAAACTCTTTGCAGTGGATGCTGTGGCTCTCAATTGTGTTTATCTGCAAGAGCATTTGTTTTTTGATATTTTATTCCAGTGACCTGCTTTTTTGACACTTGTGGTTGTAGTTTATTTTTTTTCTTGGTGAGATACGAGAAGCGTCTTGCAAAATAAATGGTTATTGTTCAAAATTCTTTGACGTACTTTGTATTTTGAAAACAGGCTTCTTTGCTAATCTGATTTTTTTTTTTTTTTACTGTTTTCTTTGACTTGTGTAAACTTACCACATTTTTACTCTATCAGGTGTTTGTTTGCTTGTGGAAAGGTTGCAAAGTATATAATACACCTTCAACAAGTCAAAGTTGGTTGCAGAGGCATATGCTGACACACAGTGGGGACAAACCTTTCAAGGTAAGGTTCATTGCAAGATATATCATCCCTTATTTTAATAGTGATCCTATTTATTTTTCCTGATAGATTATATTTAATTGAAAAATGCCATCACAGGAGGATTTCTTAAAAACTATCCAGTGAGCTGAGCCTTCGTCTTTGCAATAATTGTGCCCAAAGGTCCTGTTCTGTTGTGAAAACAGGTGAAGATACCGTTATTGCTTCTCTATCCCTGTTTCTTTTAATCTATAAATGGTAGGGGAGTCTAAAACTAAATAGTGCTGAAGTTCAATTTTTTGTGTGTTTTCCAGTTGAGCTGCTTACACTGTAACAGTGAGATATTTTGCCTCATGCTTTACACTTCCACATTAATCTTTCATGCCTGGTGGTGCACATTCTGTGCTTGAGTAAGAGCTGGTTTAGTTAACAAAATTCAGTTGAAACACAGTCAGTGACTATTTATGGTTAACCTCTCTGAGAATGATAAGTCAGGAATGCAGGACCGTTGAGCTGACTGTATTTCCTGCATAGTATTTTCTAACTTTCTCTTTCTTTCTCCCCCTAATCTGTACCTGCAATTCTAGGTATAGTAGTGTTTATCATTCCCATATCCACCAATCCGTTATTAATGAGTTGCTTCATCCTCTTATGGATACAGTTGGGGCAGTTCATAGCTGTCAGTCCTGGATCACTTGATGGTAAGTCCCACCCACACTACTTCAGACTGAAGTTCTCCTTCCATGTAGGATATGAAAATGAATTAGGGTTTTTATTAAGTTCAGGTAGCATTCTATGCCTTCTTCCCCCCCATCCCCAACCCCACCAAGTTTTAGTCACTGTTTCTCCACTTCCCTCTCCTCTCTTTCTTCTCATGTAATATCTTCTGCTTTTTTTTATTATTTTAAGGCAGTTTTATTACTAAAAAATACTTTTCTGTTACAGTGATGTCTTCCAGAAGTTACTTCTCCTGCCCAGCTTATAACAGTAGTTGTGACAGAAAACAAAACTAAACTCAAAACCTAGAGAGTAAAAATAGTGCGTCACAGGTGAAAAAGTTTTTTTAATAAAGGTTAGACTTTTTTCCATACTGAACTGTGTGGTTTAGTCTGAACATTTCTGACTGAGTGAATAACAACAGGAAATTTGCTCTTGAGTTTATCATACCGTTTGTTCAAAGGAATAAGGTTAGCATGCTCTTGGAAGCATAGCATAAGGATCATAGATCCCTGAAAGTGTACAGAGATGATTGTTCTAGCAGTTGATCTAATCTTAAGTGTTAATCCCTGAATAAAATAAATTTAAAAAAACGGTCATCAGAGGAAACTTGTACCTTAGGTCTTCTCATATTGGAATGAAACATTTTATATATCTTAAAGTATAATGGCAAGCTTTGGTCTTGAAGGGAAGTCTTTCAGTAGGGTAATTTGTATACTTATTTGGTCTAGATCAAAGAAACTCAATTTTATAGACATTGGGTTTAAAAGAGGTGGGCATAGCTCAGAAATAACAGTAGTACTTTTGAGTCTGTCAGAGTTACGTAGGAAAGTCCGTAAAAGTTGGTATCCCAGTTTTTTGCCTAAGCTGGTTAGAGCTAGAGCCCTAAAATTTAAAACAATTAGTTCTGATAATAATCATCTTGTGTTAAATATGTGTTGTTTCACCAGCTGATTTTCTGTGCTTTCTGATCATACTAAGGGAAAGAACAAAACACAGGCTAAGATTGCAGTAGTTAATCATCATGGCTCAATGTGTGTCACTTCAGCATTTTTTCCTACTGTTGTCTTCAGTCCTTCTGTTTGTTTTTTATCTCTGTATTTCTCAATCTGTTCCTGGGGGCTTTGAATGGAGGATAATTGTGGTCTGAGTAGAATTTTGTAACGTCTTTTGTTTCGCTGTCGTTTATGCTCAATATAGGCTTCAGGGCTCACATGAGGTAGCCAAGTATGTAAGTGTCTGTGATAGTAATCTATTAATTAACTAGCCCCCTTTCCTCGCTTCTTTTCTTTTACAAGCTTTTGAAATCTACTGTGATACAAAAACACTTAAGAAAGTGTTGGATATTAGTCTTGGTCGGTCCAAGTACAGCTCTTACTGTTTTACGGCAGTCATTCAAAAATGGAGCAAATGTTTCCGTTTGGTGCATTTAGCTGTTCTTATAAATCTTAATTGCTCACCTTTTAGGAAGAGACAAATTTTTTCAAGTCAGAGTTGGATTAAGGACCTCTTGTTCTTGATGATTACTGCAGACAAAATATCTCCCAAAACCTAAATTACAAATGAAATTTCTGTTGCCTCATGAGAATACACGAGTTCTAGCATAAAAGAAGGAATCTGTCATTTTAGAGAACTTGCTGAAAATACCTAGTCATTCAGTGGTTTAGTTTAACAAAAAAAAAAAAAAAAAGTCAGGATTTCTGAGGAAAGCCGTAAAAGGCAGTAATGGAAATAATATAGCTGTATGCTGTTGTCTGGAGAACTGCTGTTCATGACGTTTTTAAGAAAAGCAAAGAATGTTAGCTAGGAAAGTGACAATTAAAAGCATGGAAAACTTACTTTTGTAAAGGTAAAAGAACACTATAATCATTTAATGAACAGAGGAGAGAAGTATATGGCAGGTTGCTATATTCCTATACTTCTAGACAAAATAAGAGACAAAAGTATTTTCTTAAATTCAAAGGCAGTTGGGGACTGTCTCAGGCATAAAGCTCTCCTTTGCATTAAAACTACTCTGTTGAAGGATATGTCCTTGTCCTGTCACCCTTTTGCTTGCAGGTGGACTCATTTTATGTAGTTGCCCATTTTGGGTTTGATTTTCTATTTTGGTGATACACATGGTGGTGTCCTTTGATTAAAAGCTGTACCTGGCTGTAAATGAGCTGCTGTGCTTTCATATTAAAAGGTCTTTGTGGGTTTACCTGCCCTTTCCATGCATTCATATAAACTATGTGACTGTGTAGTTCATTTGTCATAGAAATGAACCCACTTCTAAATTACAAAGGCAAAATGTTTCATATTTTCATAAGTTTCTCCTGGTTTTTTTTGTTTGTGTGGTTTAGTGTGTCCCCCTCAGCATTAATATTGCAAGACCTCTGTCACAGAAGAGGTAAATTTCCTTACGAATACCTATTTTTGAGACCTTTGTTACGCTAGCTCCGTTTTTATATAGGGCAATTTCCTGGTAGTGTATGTCCAGCTCATAAGGAGGAGACATTTTATATCTGAGTCATCTGCTGAACTAAGGAGAAAAAAAAAAGATACCCAAGATCTTTGGGCAGAATTTAGGAGCTCAGTTCCCCTTTAGTCATCAGATTATTTCCTCCCCTTTTTTCTAAGTTTTTAATACTGATGGCCTTGGATTTCATGTGGAACACATGGATGGATTTTTTGCTTGGTTTTTGAGGCCATCATCACTAAGTTTTGTAATTGGTAAAGTATCTTTTCCTAGGGCACCCACCAATCCCTCCACCAAAGAAAAAGTGTCCATTAAATGAGACATAGTTACCATTCATTGCCAGCTAGTTCTCAGTCTGTAGTCAAATACTATTTCTGCAGAGCAGCATGCTTTTCCAACCCTACTTTTGGTAAGCACTGTTGCCTAGATTTGTCTGTCTTGTCAAGAGGAACAAACAAACAAACAAACTGGTCTTCCAGAACATGTTTCTGGTTGAGAACTTGTGGCCTTCTTTGGCCCGCTGTTAGGTATTTTTGAAGTTATGCTACTGCTCTTAGTACCTGAAGTTCGTTGCTCTTGTGCTGCTGGAAGTTTTCTCTTTGTTTATTGCAGTCTGATTCTAGCCATCCTTTTTTTTTTTTTTTTTTTTTTTTTTTAGAAATTTATTTAATAT